CCGTTCAGTTTAAGTTCAATTCATTTTTGTATAGCCCTAAATCTCAGAGGACTTTACAAAACCGTTGAATTCGCCAACACAGATCAGAGAATCAAACCGTTTCCATCTTGTATCACAAACCCATGTTCATACAATTTTTTTTGCATTATCTGCTGATGTTTCTTAACACTAAAACTCTAGGAGCAGTCAATTCGATGTCTGTTCGTTTTGGAACTGTTTCACTAAATAAATTTTCAGTCTTCATAACTTTGGTTATAAATGACTTGATCTTAATAAATGTGGTTAAAAACTAAAATTGTTTTGGGGAAATATCTCAGAATTCCTTTTGTTTGAATGGGAACTAATTGTTAACTTGTCTTTTGTACATTTAAACAGTCCATCCATCCATCCATCCAATTTCTTCCTCTTCATCCGTTGCCAGGTGGAGGGGGCAGCAGAGACACCCAGACCTCCCTTTCCACACACACTTCCTTCACTGCAAAAAAATACAAAATATAAGGTAGTAACTGCTTGAATCGATGGGTTTTCATCTTAATTAGAGTACATTCCAATGGGTCAAGAAATTTTGACTTCTCTCAAGAACTGTTGCTTTTTTTCTCATTCCAAGGGAGACATTTCTTGTATCTTTTTAAATCAAGATTCAAAACATTTGGCTAGTCCCATTCGCAAATCTCATTTAAAGGCAGTCAAAATGTGCTCAAATTAAGACACATTTAGCAGAGTTTGAGCAATTCTTGACTAGTTTTTCATCACTTTTTGCTGTAATTGTGTTTACACAGTCATCACCACGAAATACCACCGTAAAAATATGCGCCTGATCATGATTAGAGTCTAAGAAAAACACAAATAATTAAGACCAAAATTACAATTGACTTCTCTCTCAAACACACACACAGCTCATCGCTCATCTCTGCAAACCGGAGCTTGCAGACTTACAGCCCACCTCACGCCTCTCTCTGGAGCGCAGGGGGTCAGGGGACAGCCGGGGCGCCTCATTAAGCTCCCATCATTTATTTAACGCCCCTCGTCCCGCGCTGAGGAAGAGGAGGAGGAGGAGGAGGGTCAGGGCTCCGGCGTTTGACCCAGACAGAGCGGGGTAACCGTACCTGAAGCCGCTGTGTTTATGAGCAGGGCGTATGGGAGAGCGCATGCTAATGAGAGAGCGCACCGGTTTTTAATATGCCATGTCTGACACCTCTGTTCCCCAATGACGGGCCAAGGAGAGAGGCAGTACTGTAATGATGGCTCCTCTTCAACGGTGAATAATGCAGCTGCTAGAATATGCAACCGTTTAGGCAATACTTTTACTTATTTTGTCCTCCTGGCCTCTGCAGGGGGCATGGCGGGGGGCAAGAAAGGTTTTTGTAATTGAAGAATTGAATAAGGCATGTCTAAATAAAGGTTTCTTAACTGTTAACTGTTGGAGTGTCTTGCAGATTTTGTAAAGAAATTTGTATTTGCTACAATCTCCCTGATTGGCTTGAACTTGAGTCACTTTTTCCCAGACCCTCATGTTGCTAACAAGTACAGATGTATACATACAACTCTATAATGTACATATTATACCTGTCCTGCCCTCATGTGTATCACCTGTGTCCGTGTGTACTCAAACCCTGTGTATTCCTTCACTCCCTGTTCCATCATAGTCATTCCACGTCTGTTTTAGTTTTCGTCGTCAGTCCCCGTTTTGGTTTGTGTTTTATTAAATCCAATTGTTTTCGCAGTTCTGAGTTTTGGGTTCTTTTCTTTTTGCCACATGACAGGTAGTTTACTTTTACATTTCCAAATGAGGGAGGCCACAGTGCTCTTGACGATCTTCAATGCTGCTACAATGTTTTTTTAACCTTCCCCATACCTGTGCCTTGGTATCATTCAGTACCAGAAGTCTACAGGCCCTTCCACAGATCTTGTGCTTTGGTTTCTGCTTTCCAAATCAATTAAAACCAGTAGAATTTACTTCTCAACAACAACCATTGTCATAAGATAAGATAAGATAGACTTTATTGATCTCACACTGGAGAAATGTACATGTCACATTTGGCATTGCTAGAGTGAAACATGTTAAAGGTTAAAAAAGCAACGTGAATATGATCCCGATAAGTAGCCATGCATTCTTTCTTTTTTGTCATAGGGTATTGCAGATAGATTGATAGATAGATAGAAAGCAATAATTTGAAAGATTTTGAAATCATTCACGAATACACTATACACATGTGTGTGATGTGTAAAAGGATTTCGATGAGTAAAATCTCAGTCACCGATCACATGTCAGCTGTGACCAGTGGCTCCTGGTGATGGCGTCCAGAGCCTGATTGCAGCCGCAGTCCAGTATTAAAGATGAGAGTGATTGATTTTGGGCCAGTGCTCCAGAGATAAGATGAAACATTAGGCAAATGAAAGGTGTTTTTAATCAGAGACTGGAGCCAGGACTAATGATGAGCGTCTTTAGAATTCAACACCACACTTTAATCTCAGTAAGAGACGTTCTGTCGTGGAGAGGACGGAGGCGGACTGAGGAAGGACAGGAGAGTCTGGACACTGAGCTACGGCTTCTTACTGACAGTACTGTTAAAAGACAGGCTCTTAAGAAAGGTGTAAAGAGCTATGTTATAATGTTATTCCCTGTGTTGCAGTTATTGGGGATGAATAAAAGATCTCTTAATTATCCACACTTTTAAAATAATTTGATAATTTGAATAAATGTCAAATTAATCCATTTTAAAGTCCTAAATTGTTACTACTGGACCCCATCACGGCTGTTCTGACTCAAACTTATAGACACAAATGTTGGAGATGTGGTGATAACAAAGGAACTCTGGGAATGTCCTCAAATTAAACATTTCTGGATGAAAATTCACGGATGTCAAAGAACAATATAAATGCTTTGCACCACTTTCGAATTCACCCCACAAGATTATATTCTGAACAATCCACAAATGACTACATGCTGCAGCTCATCAGACCTAATTCAGACAAGCATTATGATTGGAAAAATAATAATAATGAGACACTGGAAGGATGCCGAGGAGCCCACCTTTGTTGAATGGTTCATAGAATTGGCCAAGGTGGCTTCCTATGAACATATGTCCTATTAATATTATGGACATGATGTATAAACAAATGGAAGGATTATCTACAATACACTGAAATTACAGGGGAGGCAGTGGCTCAGTTGGTAGGGCATTGGCCTGTGAGTTTGAAGGTTGTGGGTTCGAGCCCACCACGAGACATATGAAGCTTAAGTGCAAATACAGACTGAAAGGCTGAATGCAACTTCCCCCATCCAAGCCAACCAATCACACAGCTCTGCCAGCCTCAAGCCAATCACTCATGTCATTCCCGTATTCGTCCCGGAAACCGGATTCGTCTGGAAGTTCAGTTTGATCCAATGAGCATACGCAGCAGTAGTCACGGAATCTGGACGGAAGCGGAAGTAAATTTAAAAAACTACCTATTCATGCCTAAACTTAACCAGCCATTCCCATAAAATAACCCCAACCCAGCCTTAACCCTAACCTTAACCATCTTAGACGCCTAAACTTAACCAGTCACCACTTAAGGACATATTACACTTTTTGACATGCGCAAACTGAACTTCTGAAGTTTCCGGGACGAATACGGGAGTGACACTCAGCCTGACCAGCTTCCTGACAAGCAGCGCTTCCTGAATCCACCATTTTCTGTTTCCTGTTCCCCTGTCACATTTACTGCAGATTTTTCAGACCGAAAAGTGAATAAGAGATCTGAAAAGTGAAGACAATTTTCAAATGTGACACAATGTTTAGTCTTATTTCAGGTGCAGGTGAAATGTATTTCTCTTTCTAGATAGATGGATAGATATTTTATTGATTCCCCGTAGGAGAAATTCAGGTGTCCAGCATCCAGGTTTGTTGTACAGTCTGACAGCCGAAGAAACAAAAAACTCTTGAAACGTTCTGTTCGGCAGCGCAGTGATATAAGCCTGATGCTTCGATGACTCTTGAGCGGCCAGAGTGTCATGCAGAGGGTGTCTGGAGTTACATTAGAGCCCTCATCCGTTTCTCCAGCACAGCTCCCACATAGTCCAGGGGGTCAAGAGCCAAAAAGAAATAAAAAAATCCCATTGGAAATCCATAAGATATATTTTGATTAATTCAAGCAGCTTTTGTCTTAACATCAGCTTTCTGTATCACCAGTAAGATTTGCTGGAGAATAGTTTGACCAGTGGAGAGGGGCTTCAGCTGTCTATCAAGGATTTCTATTAATTGTGTCCAACCGGTGCTTGCGGTCGAAAAACGTAGTTCCCTCATCAGTCACAGACCTGGAGTTGTTTTTTTCCTGTATGATGTCAGTTGTACCACAATGACATCACGCTCAGCAAAAGTCTTGGCCATAAATTAGTTTTGGTTATTTCTTTGGTGAAGTTGTTTGCATTATAATGTTTGTGACCGGTAATTCTCGAAGAAAAAACCTTCCCTTTTGTGGTAGCATTGGTAAAAGATAGACCGACAACCATTTTTACCTTTCATACTGTACTTTTGTCTTCTTATATTCTCCACTGAAAATATATTTTTTTAATTGGAAAAAAAATACAATGAAGAATGAATAGTCTTCATTCTAACCCTTTAATGGTTTCCCTAAAAATTGGGAAAATCACATTTTGAGTAACTATATCTACTTTGGTAAAGGCCTATCATTAAAGAAAGGAGGAGTTAGAAAAAAAACTTTAAAAAAATAATTTGTGTTATTAGTGTCCTACATCTTAGAAAATCCAAAAATAAAAACTACATTGCTTTCTGTAAGGAGTGAATATTAAAGGGCTTCATATTTCTTCTTTTAACCAAAACAAAAAGCACGAAACACAAAGGCAAACCTAATAACAACATTTTTATTTCAATATTTTCTCCATTATCTCCCATTAGCCACTTGTTCACAAGCAGAGGCGTGTTTTTATGCAGCGGGTGTGAAGGGTTCCAGCGGAGAACATCATTAGTTTGGCGTTGTGCTCAGCACGACGCCTGTCAATCACGTCCCGCTCCTGGAGCCTGTGGAGCCGCGACGATCTGAGCCAATGAGAAGTGAGGACGAGCCGCTGGGAACTCTTCTACCACAACACGTCCAGCAAACACCAGAGGATCCAGGTACGAGGCGACAACCTTTATGTGTCTCACGCAGGGAGATCAAAGTTTACATGTTGTGTCTTGCTGATTTCTGGGAGAAACCGTATGAAAAGTAATGCTTAGGTCATTATGGTTTGGTTTAGGTAGAGTTTGATAGATTTTTTTCATTGATTGGATTTATTTTAAGCTTAAAAACAGGAAGCACTTATAGAATTTACAGCAATTGCATATCATACAGGATATAAACATACATACTGTAGGTACATTCATTCTTACAGTTCATAGAATTGTTTCACTCCTATAGTTTTTTCGCTCCTTATAAGCTCCCATCCCCTATGTCTAAATTCACATTATACGGTTGCACAGCTAGTTAGTTAGAAGGTCGTGGGTCCTGCAGGAGGATCAGTGAGGGCTGGTGCTTTGTGACTTGGGTGCAGCTCTGACTGCCACCCCCCTGACTCAGAAAGGATAAAGGGGAAGAAGATGGATGGATGGATAGATGTCTTGGTCCCGTAATTGGCAAATCTAGTCAGAAACTATTCAAATCAAAAATCCACTAGATTGAAGCATTTCTAGCCTCATGTTTGAACATTTCTTTGCAATGAATAAAGGCTTGACTCTTAAAACAAAAGCGTACATCTGAGGTACATTTATTCCAGGGTTTTTATGTTCGATCATGTGTTTGCAATCACATCAAATACATGAAATATACAAATGACTGCAGGATGTTCTGGAACAGTGTTATAGCTTGACGATAGGTTGTTCTTTGCTGATGCAGGAGGATCTAAGTGGGATACTGGTGAAGATCCAGGAATCTCCACATTCAACAACATTTATGGACTTTATTAACTACAACAAAAGCACTTGAGCAGAACACACTTGTGATTACCAGCTCACAAGTGCAAACAATCATCTATACCAGAGATCTATACCTGAGATCTATACCTGAGATCTATACCTGAGATCTATACCAGAGATCTGTACCAGAGATCTATACTAGAGATCTATACCAGAGATCACGGAGGCCACATAAGGACTGTGAGGATCCAGGACATGTGTTGAATTTATGAAAACATTTCCTGTGTTATTATTGTTTATTTTCTGATCTGTGGTTGGTGGATTGATAATTTTTCCAAGACGCTGGAAAACTGAATGAGGGCTTTTGTATACAAACATATTTGTATTGAATTGAAAGTATACCATATGTAGTACAAGTATACACATATACAGTATAACAACAATGATGCGGAAGTTGAAAAGTCAAAAGAGAAAAAAAATGTTGAATTTTACAGAAGTTCTATTTACAAAGTTCTTTGATGACATCATTTTGGAGAGATTAAGAATTTGCTCCAAAAAAATCCTTTCTCTTCTTTTTTTCTTTTTTTTGACAAATAATCATTGTCACATTAGAATACTTTTTCCAAGTCAACTACAAACATTTGATAGGATTAATATGAATACAATAAAAAAAATACAAAAGTGGAATAATATATTTAGGTTGCATCCAACTTGGCGTCCTTCATGGAAACGGGCTGGGGTTTTGGGTGATGTCACATAGCAGTGCACAGTCCAGTCTGAGGGTCCATGACCTCAGTGTGTCCGCTCACAAACACTGCACGCCTACGTCCTCGTTGTGGTTACAGTTGTTGATTCCGAGTCCAGCGTTGAGACAGGTGAAGATGTCCACCTCTCTCCCAGTGCAGCGCAGCTCGTCCAGCCAGATCTTGCCCGTGCCTGAGGACACGGGACACGTCTGAGATACGTCTGGGAGAAACACTCCCTTTATAAAAGCTACAGGTTTGAATCATGTGCAATGATCTGGAAGTACAGAAGTCTAAATATGGAAATATATGGTGTATTTGTAACATGATACCTTGAAACACTTCACAGTATTCATGCAAAACAATGTTGTTTTTGATCAATCAATTAAGCATCACTTATATGATAAAAAAACTACTAAGAGGATAGTTTTATGTTTTTTTTTTAAAGTCACTAATGTATTCTGAATGCCTACGCTGGCACTAGCTGAACTTTAGTCATGCCTTTATAACATTTTATATAAAATTGTATGTAGGCGGGGCAAAAGTTTGGATGGAGCCAGGCTGCTGAAAATCACTGATAGAAAAACCAACTGCATCCTGTATACTTACTCAAAATGTGTAAAGTCAAGACATTTATTGAGTTACTCCAGTCCCAACACTGTCATTATGTACAGGGCCTTCAGAGGTTATGAAGAAAATATTCCATTGGGGAAATGTAAACACTGCTGACAGCTGACTGCACTGTATCACTGGAGGACAGTTGGATCCACCATGACACTTGGATCAGGGAGAGGAGAGAGGAGACCAACAAACGAGAGAAACCTCAGACAGAAGCCTCCAGAAGGACTGCAGCAGACGGACGCTCTCCTCAGCAAAAGCCACACGCTCTTACAGTTTGTAAACATCAAGTTTTCAGGATGTGGTAACACACCATGAGAGCCAGTTGGACTCTACTCCAGTGATATCACTATTTTCCAAATTAATATGGGTACATTTTGTTTATAGTTGGATAAAGTTTATAATGGTACTTCCTAGTTGGACGTGGGCTGCATAGATAGCGTTCGGAGCCATACCAACAACAAAGTAAACAATAACCAAGGCCTGTCTTCTTTACACAATAGTTCAGGAGTGATGAGTAGAAACATGAGACACCACTGTCCTCTGTTCAAACGACTGTTAAAAGTGTGACATCACCTGGTGTGGCAGAGAAGGTGGTCTGCACTGACTGGAAGCCCAGCATCTTACAGATGACCTTAGCGTCCACAGAGTCGAAGTTATCGTCGCACACGGTCCCCCACACGCCATTGTACTTCACCTCCACACGGCCTCGACTGGGCCCCGGCACCAGGCGCACAGTCACTGCACAAACACACACACACACACACACACACATATACATGGGGGAGAATGTATCACTGATAATCTATGGAAATGGCATTGGTTGACATGAACTTACATACCAATGTTTCTCTTTTTATAATCCTTGTGCTCTCCTCAGGTCAAAGTGACCCGCCACAGATGATTAAAAGTAGAATAAAAAATACCCTTAATAATGGTCTAAAAGTGACCATGGGGGATTATGGCAGAAGAACGTTTGATAATAGAATATTTCTATTCTCGAGTAGAATTTTAAAAGTGTCTCCAGCTTTAAGAAAAGTCCGTAACAAATCCTCCATGTGCTTGGTCCAATCACAAAGTACATTTACAAAGCATAAGAATATGAACTATGTAAAAAAAAAAAACCTTACCTTATTCTACATTTCTTCAAATGTAGAATAGGCTTCATTTGTGACGCTTTCAAAGGCGTCTTGTAACTTTGCCGAAGCACTCAAACTTTGGAATAGAAGGTGTGAATAAAATGTCTATATACCGTATTAGTGCCCTTTTGGCAAAAGGTTATCACACATTAAGTTTTTAAATTTTGGTATCTCAAATATACATCATGTTCATGTTTGTTGCTATTCCCTCACATAATAAAACCAAAACAGAACAATGAAACACTTGCAGAAAAGGACTGTACTTCATGTGATCCAAATGCATCATTTTGATCATCGTCATTTCTGATATATGCATTTATTTTCTTTTATTTGCTCTTAAATGCATCTGCTGACCTTGTCTCAGTATCTGGGTTACAATAGATGTTATTCCCACCTCAATCCAAAGCTCCCAGGTTTACGTGCGTCTTCCTCAATCAAGTTAAATTGGACTGAGATGACTGATCAGGCTTTAGTGCTTGTAAACACACTCATTGAGTTGACTGTACTGTAATAATAATGCATCGGTTTTATATTGCGCTTTTTGGACACTCAAATACGCTTCACATGTCATTATTAATTCACTCCATACTACTGCTGTAGCTTCCTTGGGGCACAATGACAGAAGTGAGGCAACCAGTATGTGCAATTGGCCCCTCCGATCACACACCAGACTCATTCTAGGCAATGGGGGTTAAATGTCTTGCCAAGGACACAATGACAGCAGACATCAGTGGGAGGCGGTGAAGAGAGCCTTATGGTGGGCTCGAACCCACAACCTTCAGGCTCAAAGGCCAATGCTCTTCCAACTCTGTGCCACTGTCGCCCCCCAAAAGACACTGGTTCCCAAAGTGGGGATCAGCAAATTGGGTGAAATAAAGCTTTGAGGTTTAAAATGAGGCTGCACAACCAGTGGGGGCCAAAATTACGTGCTCTGACATGCTTGCAATACCACCCCGGGCCAATGGGGGTGGACCCGGAATAAGAATTAGCCAATGCTAACGTATAGCATCTTTTTACCTCATGAACATAAAAAGAGTTGTACTCACTTTCGCGCCCTGGTTCTCCTTTGTCTCCTTTCTCTCCAGCTGGTCCCGGGGGTCCTGTACAAACCGAGGACTACAGTTTGACAATGTCTTCTGACAGAACATACTGTACATATTCTAAACCAGGGGTCTCCAACCTGTGGTTCGGGAGATACCAGTAGCACGCCACCCCCTTTCAGGTAGCTCCCCAAAGGATTCAAGATTTTAACACATGATCCTGAATGATTCACTTAAATAATCACACACATAATTTAACTATAAAGCTGTTCATAAACGCTGGGACACGGTACTGTAATGGATGTGTGTTCTCTAATGCCGCGTTCAGACCGGATCATGCGTTGCGTCGGCTTTCAATTCAAAGTAAACGGTGACGCAAGTTTGAGCGTCAAAGCGCACAAACGTCTCAGAATGCACGCACAGACCGCACTGGGAAGTCGAAGGGGAGGAACGCAGGAGATCGATTTTGCTCAACCTTTCCTCGGGACGTTTGTGCAGCAACCAATCAGAGAGCCGCAAAGTGGTCACGGGGACATTAGCGGACTAAGCGAGCAGACTGAAAATACTGTAAACAGCCAAAACAGGAGCTACATCAGGACTAAACCAGGGTTGACAATGGGGGACATAGTGCTTGTTAACATGTGAGTTTTCATGCTCTCTTGACTTTATGCAACTGCTTTGAGTGTGTTCGCCGATGCGGAAATACCGTTTAATAATAAAATAAACTTATTGCGCACCTCCGTGAACACATACTACTGTTAAATAAAATCCATGGAAGGGCTCTGAACACAGACACGCTGCAAAGCTGCATTATTGGAGAAGATCTGTACACAAGAAGCCGCTAGCTAAACTCTGTTAGCATCAGAGCCTAACAGAGTTTATTGTTTTATACAGTGTTTTCCAGGACACTCAAAGACATGTCATTATTCTTTCACTCCATGATAAACTACTACTGTAGCCACAGCTGCCCTGGGGCGGCACACTGACAGAAGTGAGATCTGACGGGATCTGGTTTTCACATGCAAGTAGCTCTCTGCCATTTCTGGTTTTTTATAAAAGTAGCTCTCAAATCCAAGGTTGGAGACCCCTGTTCTAAACTATACTGTAGAGATGATATATGTATTTCAGAACAGAATTTAAGAATATTATTCATAAATTACGTACAATATTTTGGATTTGTTACTTGTAATGAGTCAAATCGTATTTTTGTTGACGCTGAAGTACTGTCCTTGTTTTATAAATACATTCTTACATAATACTATTGTAGTATAAGTAACTCTATATATCATATGATCTTTTATGCTGAGTGAGGGTGGTCCTCTCTTTCTCACAGAGGATCTAAAGCCAAATATACGTGCATGTGAATTAGTGAACGAACAAAACAGTTTTGAGAGCTGGGAAGTAGTTACCATAGTAGTTACAATGTCCATAATTAACATTCATGGACATTGGTCATCTGCCCCTTTGGACCAATGGCTCTATGTGTTTCCTATCATTGTATTTCTTTAGTTTGAACTGTTTGATTCTCTGATCTGTGTTGGCGAATCGATGGTTTTGTAAAGTCCTCCGAGATAACTACTGTTTTGATTTTGTAGTTACAAAGTTAAGTACCCCAGCTTAAATCTTGCAGTCAACAAAATTCAAACTTAAAGCAAATACATTAAAAAAACACACATTAAAGTTAAAGTGTTCACCTGTCTCTCCTGGAGGACCAGCAGCACCTTTACGAACAAAAGAAACAACAAAATATGATCAAGGTGTGATGATCTAATGATCTCTCTGTGCTGCAGACGACACACAGCTGCACATCACCCCTCACTCTCTTTATCAATGATGAGGAGGCAGGAGAGACTAGGAGCTGCAGAGAGAAGGAGGAGGACGCAGGAGAGACCAAGAGCTGGAGAGAGGAGGTGGCAGGAGGAAGCAGGAGCTGGAGAAAGGAGGAGGATCGAGGAGGCAGTAGAGACCAAGAGCTGGAGAGATGAGGAGGCAGGAGGGACCAGGAGCTACAGAGAGGAGGAGGAGTAAGGAGAGACCAAGAGCTGGAGAGAGGAAGAGCCGAGGGACCGGGCGGGTGTACAGATCAGTTGGGTATGGAGGAGCGAGATTGTGGATGGCTTTGTATGTGAGGAGCAGGAGGAGCTCTGACCTGTGTTATGAAGATTTCTCCATGCTTACAATCTGTATGGCATGGTATTATTTTATTTCTAATTTTACAGAGACAGTGTACTATAAACATTAGCCGGGAGGAGACATTGTACCGGGTTGTAGCAGCAGTGCTAATTTACACAGCGCCTGAGCAGGTGGTTGTATAACAGTAAGTAACAGTAAAATCAGTTACATCTAGTCCTTGCATCTACAATTCTCTCTCAATCTCCTGTCTACGCTCCAGCTAAGTCGACCTCTTCCTGCCTCCACTCTCTGCTCTACTGCTGCTAGTGTTGTAAATAAACTTGTTGAACTACATCAGGGTCCTGCCTCTGCTTTTAGGGACTTTTTTTGACAGATCTATTTCGTTTTTATATTACAATATTCGCATCCACTTGTTGCATTTCTGCTGTGAGTATCTCATATATAACATGTGTTGATGATAGGTGTTACCTGGAGCTCCGGGTGGGCCTTCGTCTCCAGTGTCTCCCTTCTGTCCTCTTAGTCCTACGTCTCCAGTGTCTCCTGAAGACACATTATGCAAAACGTTTAAAATTCTTACAACGTGGTTCTCTCAAGAATAGACCCAGAGTTGATTCTTTTGGTTTCTCTCTGCTAATGCAGCGTTGTGAGTCTCTCCAGAATAATTGTATCTAAATCACCAGGATTTTATTACAGAATCAATCTCAAATGATAACTTTAGTTCTAGCTCAAACTCTCAATCCACAAGTATAATTATAATCCTTTTGAGTCTGGTTAGCACAGTTTAGGTCAGTGCTCTCAAAAGTACTAAAACACCTTGAACCTTGAACACATTTTGGCAAGTTTAAAATCAAGATTTTATTTGGAAACAAAATATATTAACTCAAAGTATTAACTCAAAGTATTAACATCCAGTGTATTATTAGTCACTGGATGTACAGTATATATTAGTACATTAGAGAGTACTGGATATATTACCTTGCTTTGAGAGCTTTTTTAATGTCCAGATGTAGACAGAAAACTATATTTCTTGAACTAGAACAAACAGTATTTTATACTCAGGTACTTTGTACTTAATTCTTGCTTCTTCATTATGCTAATCTTAGAGATTTTATTTTATGTTATTTTATTTAGGAAAGAGTTTAGTACTGTGTGCTCCTCATTCCTACTCATCATCTTAATGTTAAAAGTATATGGGAGGATTTTCTTCATCATCCTCTTCTAGACTGTTGATCCTCCTGATTGTCAATCATTCTGGTGATTTGCGACACGTTTAAATAGGTGTTCTTTCTCAAATTTGGAAAATCCTCTGATATACCTTTAATGTCCCTTTGTAGTCAACTATTCGGCCGTCTAATCAGTCTGCAGTATTAAGTTGATCAAGAATTGTTTGAATGATTACAGCCCTAAATATTACTGGATAACGTTTGGGGGAAGTAAAAAAGGAGAAATTAATAAATAAGGCTTGCACGCAATTTATTAGATTTTTGTAGCAGATATAAAAGTATGAATACAGCTGCATGAGATAAAACTGCTGGATTGAAATACTTGGCTGTGCTGGCGTGAATTTCATAGATTTTACTTATGAGACGTTTTACCTCTAGGTCCTGGTTCTCCAGTGTCTCCTTTGGGTCCTGTGGGGTAAAATCCAGAGTGAAGTGGTTAACGACAAATAACAGGAAGATAGAAAAAGTAAGTATTTCATTCAAATTGTTTATTTCTCCTGATCTGAAGTGACAAGTGTATTACCATTTACCATTAAATATATGTGATCACTTGGCCATATCTTTAAGACAGGACTGACACGTTTTGGCTACGCAATGTAAGGTTCTGTGGAAAAGACCATCTGTTGTGTACCTGGCTCTCCGGGCTCTCCCTTTGCCCCTGGTCCCTGATCACCGGCAGGACCCTTCACACCTAAAACATGAGAACGAAACTTGATGATTTTGAGAACATAAATGATCAGAAATGTCACCTCAGCAGAGAACAGTTTGACAACAGCTGACTCAGGCCTTTGACAGGAACAGAAAGTTGCTCATCATAAAAATGTACACTGGGTTTTCAATTTGAACGTCATTATTCTCTCTTTTTTACAGAAGTGAAATCCGGACGATGGCAACAACTAAAAATATCTCTCTCTGAAGAACTGTAGGTGTGGGGAAAATGGATCTGGTTGGGACTGAGAGAAGATGCTAAAGACATTACAACAACCTCTTTTCTGGACATTTGCTACATTATATTCTGGCAATTGTTATCGATATCGTAGTATATTCTATGCTTTTAATAGAGTTATATTTGATATGATAATATTATGTGTGAGAGCTGCTGTGTTCAAGTCATTTCCCTTGTGGATCAATATGACGTCTTTGTCTGAAATAACTATATAATTTCAACAAAGACGTCAGACAGAACCTTCTAACTGTAATTGCAGAATGTCGGACACTTATTTGATGTAAACAATGTGGATTATATTGATTAAACTAATGGGGCCTCATGTGCTCTGGTAATTATGAGAAATATCACATGTACAGCCCCTCATCTGGAATTTTCTACTGGAGAACTGGGAAATTACCTTTGACTTTCAAAATGGTGGACAGAAATGGTAGTCAAAAATACGATGATTAGAGTTTATTGTAGATAACACACTTTTAGCCATCTGTCTGAATGTTCAGTCATTTCTGGCGTTAAAAGATATTCCTGACATCACCATTTTCACTTTGCAGTAATTTTAATGATTAAATTGGTTTGAGAGAAATCGTTTAGCAATCATGAAAACTGACACCCTTGGCACTCAAAAGACTCAGATTGGAGGTAAAACATCTTAATTTAAATACATAAAATAACCCTGTCCAGATGACTGTTTACAACCGTTGTTTGCGGTTGTCAACCTGAAATGAAATTCATAATAGTTTTAGAAGTAGGAAGTGTGAGAAGCTAGTATTAGCCTTTATGCTAATCTTGTTTTGCCTCTTCCAAAACAATATGTCACTCATAATGGAGAGAGCAATTGCTGTTAGTGGCTTTACATTTCACATACAGAATACATATGAGCGTGCAGCACTAATGGCAGCTCACCGGGTGGTCCCTGGGGCCCAGATGGGCCTGCAACAACAAAACAGAATTCATTATGTGTGTACACTTGGAATGGTAAGTGGCCCTCGGGTTCCAGGATTCTTCTGAGACAAGACACTCAGGACTTTTCTGACCTGTTAGTTCATTACTTTTATATGTTACATTTTAAAACAATACTGCACAGAAAGTGATATTCTAAAGATATTCTAAGCAGATGTTCATAGACATTCACTTTCACATAGTTTCAAAAAAATACATAGACATAAATTACATGCAGAGACATAAAAGGTTACGAAGTTAGGAAGGGCAAAAACATACATACGCTGAATAATAATGCTTACAAAACTAAAAGGCTGTCAAATTGACTGCTCTGGGAGTTTTAGTGTTAAAGTGTACTCTGGCCTGAAGCATGAACATGAAGAGATAATTTTGTTTTTTAACTCACCAGCTTCTCCAGTCGCTCCAGTGTCTCCTTTGTCGCCTGCAAACACAGAAAAAGTAGTTTTGTTAAATAGAATCCTATATAGTCAACCTCTTTGATAAGTTTTTAAAGAAGAAATATTACGCATTATTTTATGGCCTTTTAACGCTGAAACTATACGTAAACACAAGTATCAAGAGTAAATAAAGTATCAGCCTGCCCTATCCCTATGCTACCACCAGAGGGAGGAGAATTCTGAATTTGTTTTGGTTTTTTTTCCACATTAGAAAATCACCAGCTGCAAACACTACCCTGCGAGAATGTCATTTTGCTTGAGAAATTAGTTTTTGAGTGTGATGTCATAGTGGTACAATTACATCATACTAGGGCTGGGACTTTAGACACAAGGGGGCGGAGTTATTTTTTGTGCCAGAATTTCCTGATTATAGCATGGATGGATCTAAAAACATTTCCAGGTCTCTCAATGTTGTTACATGCTCAATTTTGCATATCGCCCATCTCCTTACGACAGCCTCTGTGCTTTTCAGCAGTTTTATTTCATTTTGACAAGCAAATTACATGCATTTGAATACAGAACTGTTGGTGATAAATGGTTTTAGTTTAAGTGAATGTGAAGAGTGTGGAGCCGCGGAGCCGCGGAGCTTTGACCTATCGGATGTGAGACAGAGACGTCTGAGAGAAATGTCAGGTCTCCTCATCCATCAGCTGTTCTCATCAGAAGAGGATGAGAGGAGGACAGGACCATTATTACAGCCATCACCGGAGCACGCGTCTTCAAACTTAATGCTACACTCGCCGGCTGCATATGCACTGCTCCTTCTGACCACACAAACTGGAAATGATTGAGTCTGAAAAATGGTCAATAACTTAAGGTCCAGACCCAACTTACCTTTGGGTCCGGGCTCTCCGGGCAGTCCAGGGGGTCCTGCATTCATAGAAACATTTATAAATATTTTAAAAGTACTATATTTTGTTTTACCCAAGCTTTTTGTTTGTAGATATGCAATAGTAGAAGTTGGAGTAGTAGTTGTAGTAGTTGTAGTAATAGTATTAGCAGCATTAAGAACCTGGAGCCGAGCCTCGTGTCCAGTCACTGTAGTAGTAGTAGTAATATAAGTAGTAGAAGCAGCAATAGTAGTAGTAGTAGCAGTAGCAGTTGTAGTAGTAGAAGTAGTAGAAGCAGCAGTAGTAGTAGTGGTAGTAGTTGTTGTATTAGCAGCAGCAGTTGTAGTAGTAGTTAAAGTAGTAGTAGTAGTTGTAGTAGTAGTAGTAGTAGTAGTAGTAGTAGTAGTAGTAGTTGTAGTAGCAGCAGCAGTTGTAGCAGTAGTTGAAGTAGTAGCAGTAGTTGTAGTAGTAGCAACAGGTTCTTATGGAAGACCGACATCATGTGTGTGAAAGCCAGATCCTGTCTGACCTGTGAAACTAAGCAGGGCCTGGTCTGGTGAGTACTATGATGGGAGGTAAGATGGTGAATGTGTGTACTGTATGTGTTTGTGTGTGTGTATGTGTGTATGTGTGTGTGTGTGTGTGTGTCCATGTATGTGTGCAAATGCCTGATGATTATCAGTATCAGCAGCATCAGAACCTGCTGTGAGGCTGATGGAGCGCAGCCTCTGGTCCAGTCTCTGTGCACTGGAGTTCAACTGCAGCAGCTCAGTGTGGAACTTCTGCACCTGCCCCTCTGGTCCACACTGACTCTCCACCTGCGGTCACCATGGAGACCAAGTCAGAACGTATGGATAACAGTAGAGTTTCTCACAACATTATTTGGAGTTGTTTTGGTTTTTGTTACTGTAATACTTTAAATACTGTACTGATTATTAAACCACTTAATGTTTTCCTGGATCACTTTTTAGTCACTACATCTACTTGAAGCTTTGAACTGAAATCTACCTCTTTGGGGCATCTCTCAATCACTTTTACCATCAAACTGCATCTCAACCATTTGGTAAAAGCCTACTGTATAAGTCAAAAAAAAAAAAAAAAATAGGGGTTGAAATTATGAATTATTTGTGTTTTTAGTGATTAGCTGTAAAAAACAAAAAGCTAAATTCACATTGCTTTCTTCAAGGAGTGAAAATTAATGGTTTAACTCTATATCAAAAGTATGAAGTGAATGTAATTTAATCTAATCTAATCTAATCTTCTGTAATTTTTTGTAATCTAATGTAATGTCCGTCTTGTGCGGCTGCAGCAGTGGTCAGACCTGGTTCTTGAGGCTCCACACTTGTCCTCTCAGACTCAGCGTCTCCTGAGTGTTGTTCTGGACTAATGTCTGGAAGTCTGGGGGCCCTTCTGTTTGCTGGGGGGATGTTTGACTGGACGACTGAGGACTGAACACTGAGCGCTCCAACGTGAACACTGAGGAAACACAGCCACAGAGCAACACAAAACAACAGTCCATGAAAAGTATAAGTAGAAAACACAATCTTGAACTTTTCCAAGTTTTTTTCTTCTTCCTTTTTTTTTTGTCTTGGCAAAATTGTGTTCAAATATCTTGATTTTAGTACATTTTGTCCGTCTAAAAAAACAGATGAATGTAACCTTATAATGCCAATCATTTTTGAATCCTTTTATGTGTTCAAAAAATTGTGTTCTTTTTTTAGTTTAAGTCTGGCCACGTCCGGGTTTTCTATATTTCATTTTAAAATTCATTCAATTGAGTAGAAATTGCTGATCATATTTTTACCTACTGTAGATACACATACATCCATGGATTTATACAGTAAATACAAATACATAACGGTTTGTGTCAATACATTCATGATAATATTTACAACCCTGATCTTAGCGTGAAGCAAAGACGTGGACTATTTCTGATTCAAATTTCTAAACTCAAAACAGCAAAAGCATCTTACGTTTACGATGCATATGTGACACAACTTTAATTATTATGCGCAAAAAAAAACAACAAAAAAATCGTACAAAATGGATCCTAGCTGTTATGTGCGTATGTGACCGACCTTTGTAGAGGAGGAAGACATTGAGAGGCGTCTGCAGCAGGAGGTACACCAGGACCAACCACAGACAGAAGTGTCTCTTCTGAGGCGCCCGCTTCAGATCTGGCAACACATCCCACAATCATCACATACAGACAAACAAGTCCAATACACCCGCACTATTGGAACTGTATATTCAGGTTAAAGACTCTTCTGTTTGCCTGTGCATACAACTGAAGGATTTTATCTCTTTCTTTATTGCACTGTGGTTATCTATTTATTTATTTTTTTAATTCCTTTCGTAATTTTAAAGTTTTAATGGTTGTAATTTCTTGTGTGATTTTAATGTTTTAATGGTGATTCTGGTGTTTGTTTTATGTGATGATTTGTGCCTTGGGTGATGTGGACTGTGAATGTGGCTTTGTGTTGCCCTGAGTATGAAAGGCGCTCTGCAAATAAAGTTTTATTGATTGATTGTATTTTAAAACTAGAGAATATTGCCCTTGAACACGTAACAACAACATTTCATAACAAGGAAAAGCAACAAGACAGTACTTATCATTTTTAGAATGACTGATTAATCATGAACGTGTTGATATGTTGAAACAAAGGGACAGTTTTGGTGAAGTAAGACATTCATCTTTTTGGGTTCTGTTCCTGCAATGAGTTTTACACAGAGCAGTGTCGCCCCCCTCTGGTGACTGCCTGTTAGAGCCCATTCTCGATCTGTAACATTACATTACAGAATATTGACCAGTGTTGGGTGTATTTCAGTTACAAATACATAGTTACTGTAGATATAATATATTTAGGGACATTTGTGAACATGAGAGGACTCCTCTCGCTCCCAATAGACCATGGCTTCTATAAATAAGTATGTAATCTTTATTTATATAGAGCCTTCCACGGACCAGTCACAAAGCGTTTTACAATTGTTTTTCTTATTATTGTTTTTTCTGTGTTCAAACTGTTGTACTTTGCAATGACAGCTGTTGTGATATAAAACTACATTGAATTGAATTTTAAAGCTGGGGTACCTAACCCGTTGCTGGCTCTAAAACGGTTTTCTTCTATAGATTCACATGCATGTATTTTTGGCTCCCTTTTCATTTTTATAACAAACACTTCTGACTCCATGAGACTGAAAAGTATGAATGAGATCTCCATGGTAACTACATCTCTACTGTTTTGGTTCACACATGATCCTCATGTAGCACTGTCATGGATGACCACGCATTCCTCCATGTGCCACAATAAAACTCTCGGATCTACTGTCTCTGTTTATTTCACTGTTTCCATTATGACAAACTTTATTCATTATTACTACAAATTAAAGCTGGGATACCTAACATTAAGACCACAAAACAATGAACAAATGTAATCTCACTATTAATATCTCTCAAAAGTTAGAAATAGCTACTGTAGTTGTGGCACGGTGGCGGAGTGGATAGCACTCTTGCTTCTCAGCAAGAAGGTCCTGGGTTCAAATCCCAGTCGGAACAGGCCCTTTCTGGGGGGAGTTTGCATGTTCTCTCCGTGTCTGTGTAGGTGCTCTGGTTTCCCATACCACTAAAAACATGTACAATGGGTCTGACATGCGCCTCCTGTACTGGCGACCCCGCTCCCATCTCTGTGTGGAGTGAGAGGATAAATGCCCAATGTTAACAATTGTAAACCGCTTTGTGACTCTGTTCTGTGAAAGGGGGTATATAAATAAAGATTACTAATGGCTAAGTTAGGACAAACTGGCACAGTGTGTTTGTACCCCCTGTGCCGTGTTTGTACACCTCCCCAGGGAGGCGTGCAGGAGGCCTCCAGGAGGCAGCCGGAACAGATGCCAGAGCCACCTCAACCTGCTCCTCTCACCTTATTTGATCAATTACTAATTATAACTGTGTCTTAGGTTCAATAATTAGAATATAAAGGATGTAAGTATTTTAAATCAGCTTCACACTGAAACATGTAAGATGAAACATGTGTAACATGAAGGTTTGCAAGATTTGAAAATAATTTCAAGTATCCCTAATGTCCCCCATTATCACAATGGTAGTTACCCCTGGTAGTAACTATGGTAGTATTTAGGGTAATACAAGAATACATTGAACTGAACAGCGGTCCATGTAATACTGTCTGCCTGAAATACTGAAATACTAAAGGAAAAATCTACAACATGAATGCAGCCTTTTGAAATGTACTCAACAGTGGAGCCTCAGTGCACCAGTGAAGCAGAAACAGTTGATATTTGTGTGTTGTGTGTTGTGTGTCACTCACCGTCCTGCGTGAAGCTGTAGAGTTGTGTTTGGCTCAGCGACGTCCCGAACAGAGGGTTCATGTGTGTGTTGGACATGTCGTCTGAGTCCACTGCACTGTCCATGTATCCTACGTCCCTCTGTCCCTCTCAGCCTCTGCCTGAGCCTGCGTCTTAAACTGAGAGTGACTTCTGCATTCACAAAGGAGTGTCCGCGGTTGCGCCATCAACTAAACACTGTAAAAAAGAAAAAAAACCTTGACATGTTTGTAACCTTGAACAGTGCACACTCTGGGCCGCACCAGAGAGAAAGACAATGATATCCACAATTAAACTAATGTCTATTGTTGTGAAATGAGTCTAAAACGTGTTTGAATTAGTGGTGTGACTATACTACGTTAAACTTCAAAATACTCCACAACAATCATTCATAAAGACTCATTTTGAACGATAGACTTTATTTGTTAAATCAAGGTTTTCCACAAGTTGAATCAAACAGAACATTTTCTTTAATAACAACACTTTCTCAAACTAGTTTCTTCTTTTGGTGCAGTTTTACTGTCGATAAATATCTTTTTTCTGGATATTATTAACCATTATCCATGACATATGTTTGCGTCAAATGAACCAACTCAGACTCTGAGGAGCACAGGGACTGGCCTCTCGGTGTCCGGAGTCAAGACTGAACATGAGGAGGCTGCGTTTCAGATTTATGCAGCTAAAATCTGGAAGCTTTCCTGAAAATGTGAGACAGGCTTCTCCTCTGACAATGTTCAAATCTAGGATAAATCAAATCAGGATGAATGTTGTTCTGTTAAAAGCTGCATTGTTTAGCTGAAGGATTGTATCTTGACTCTCTTTTATGCACTATAATACATGATTTCACTTTATCGCATTCACTAGAGCAATATTTTTGAACAGGGGCTGCATGAGGTACGGCAGTTTGAATTCTAGGCCCAAATTTGCGTTTTTATCAGATAAAATATATTTTTTTGGCCTTGAAATTCACAATTGTCCATATCTTGCACATGCAGGGTCTAAAGACACTTAACCCCACTTTGCCCAAAGCCCCCACTGAAAGATCAAGGCTATGCTCAAACTCAGAGAGCAGCCGTCCTCCTGTGGACTCACCACCTGCAGAGGGTCAGTGAGGGGCTGGTGCTATGAGACTTGGGTGGCATCTCTGACTGCCACCCCCCTGACCCAGAAATGGATTAAAGGGTAGAAAATGGATGGATGGATGGGTCTAAAGACAGTGGTGATGATCCAGGACACTCCACATTCAACAACATTTACAGTATAGACATTTATTAGACATTGGTCATCTGCCCTTTTTGGACCAATGGCTCTTCGGTTGGTTTTTCTTTTTACCATTGCATGTTTGAACTGAACTTGATTCTCTGGTCTGTGTAGGTGAATCCATGACTTTGTGAAATCCTTCGAGAAATTTGTTTGTGATTTAGGGCTATATTAAAAAAGTAGTCTGTGTTTTTTATATGATTAAACTTTTACATGACACTTTTTACTTATGAGGGGGGAAAGGTACCCCAGCTTTAAAGGTATACAGGAGGATTTTCCCAAATTTTAGGAAAGAACCGCCCTCTCCACTTTTTGAACAAAACTCTCTGGTTTTGTTTGACGAGCACGTGTCACCAGAATTGACAACTGGGAGGACCAATAGTCTTGATGATCCACCCAGAAGTAAAAAAATAATCCTCAAATATACCTTTAAATACATTCTATGATCGTAATAATTCATTTTCAGGGTGAGAGGGTAAGCCTGTAGCAGCAGCGGGAGAGTAGAACATAAGAGGAAGTACATGCTGTATTACATAAGACGGTGGAACTTGCTGGCGTGGCTTTGTGAAAAACATTGTGCAAGTAATATATTTATGTATTCATTGATTTCACTCCTTTCGTAATGTGGGTGTCAAGTCAAGTTAAAAGGCCACTAAATAATTGGTCAATTTGATTAAAACTTCCAATATTCTAAGCTGCTATGTCTTCAATTACATACTTCTGACCACGGCGCCCTCTAGTGGACACACGCAGTATCAAATCTCTATTGGGAAGGAGAAGGAAAGATCTGCTTTGAAAATATTAGTGTCCAATACTCTTTATTTATATAACACATTCCAATAAGAGTTTCCATAGAGCTGCACAGAAACATAAACCACAAAATATGAGTAATTCTCAAGCTTGTCCACTAATTATCAAGCATGTATATCAACATAATAGACTAAAGAGAGATGAAATGTATACAAAACAAAATCAATATATAAACAAATTTATTTGTATTATTGTTCATTGATTTCAAACCAGTGTACGTACATTTCACATACACAAAAAAGGATAGAAAACAACCAGGTTTACGCTGACTACAAAAGGAGCATTTCTTCTTCAGTTTCTATTTCCAGTTGATTCAAAAGGAAAAGAGGAAATAGAGTAAAGAGTGAAGACAAAACTGGGGAAAGCACAAAGATGTGGAAATATTTAGTTTGTTTGAAGCAAATCAGTGGAACTCTCAGGACGTCAATGCCCATTTTTATTATATTGTGTGACTGTGTATTGTCCATAAACAGGAACTGCAGATGGAAGTGTTTTGCTATAATCTGGTGCAGAACATGTGTCTCTGAGCTTCATGTCTCTGCCCTGTCCCTCTCAAATAAATACTAAACTGAACTACTAGTCTTTAATCAACCAGAATGATTAGTATGAGTCAGTTTGGTTCATTTACAACTTACACTTAAAGCCGCGGCACATTATTGTCACTTAGAAAACATGTTATCCTTTGCACGCTGTCACTGTTTGACTCTTTGGGCTGAGAGCTGATTGGCTGAGTGAGGGGGGTCCTCTCGTTTGCATTTTTGAAGTCTGAAAATGCTGATCTAAAATGTGGCAAAGGCAAAAAAAAACATACAGAAAACTGGTCATAGAAGAAAATTGTTTTAGATCCAGGAACTATATTATTGATTATTTGAAAGTATCCACTGTGGGTCAAATAAAAGATCTCTTCATCTTCATCTTAACAATATATTTATAGTTCAAAGAATGGTGCATTTCAACCCAGTTTGGCACACATTTTTTGGTTCATAATTTTCATGGTTTAATAGACACAAAAATAAGTTTGATATATGTATAAATAATATAAAAACCTTTCTTTTAAAGACAAATCTACTTCAATAATTTATGTTTTACTTATTGTATGTTTATTTTGATATAGTAATGCACTTTGATTTATCTTGTGTATAAAATGTTCTATACAAATAAAGTTGCAATACCTGTAGATCATTGTTATCACACAAAAGCATTGTTGGTACAAGATGTTTATCATTTTCTCCACAGAATTTCCCACTTCAGCCAAACGCTAACTTTGCATTTTGATAATTGCTAAAACAAAATGAACCGAGTCTTTTTTCCAGCTCGATCCACAATGTTTCATTTGTCCACCAGGGGGCACTGTACATGGGAGAAGTACTGTACAGTAGGTCAGCTGTGTTGGTCAGTGTCTCTGGACCTTCACTACCACTTTATAGATAAGAATATGTCGTGGTCTGAGGCTCAGAGTTACTGCAGAGAGCAGTTCACAGACCTGGACTCAGTGAACGACACGGAGGACCTGAAGAACCTGAAGGCTGCTGCAAACGGACGCACGGACGCCTGGATCGGACTTCATCAAACCAGTAACAAACTCACAGACAGAAAATGGCACTGGTCTCAGCTCACGGTCAGGTACCAGGAAGAAGACGCTCCGTGGGGACCAAGGCAACCTGATGATTATAGAGGAAATGAAAACTGTGGCCTGACGTACAGTGAGGGCCAGTGGTATGATTATCACTGTCATCATGAAAGCAGGTGTTTTAACGGTGAGGAAACACACATTAAACAAAACAAGCTTATTTATTTATGACTTTAATATTTCTGTGTTATTGATCTCATTTATAAACAGGTCATATTAGGTGTAAAGTGTTAAATGGGGCACGGGGGTCAAAGTGTGAAATAAATTGAATTAGTGATTATTAATTAGTTATTACGATGTTTCCTTGTTAGGATTTTATCCAAACTGTAATTTTCTTGCATTAGAAACATCAGAAATCAGAAAAATGTTAGTTTTGCTTTTTTTACTTAGTACTTAGTTAAAAACAATTATATAAGAGACATTTTTCAACATCAAAAACACAAATCCACTGCTGTAACTGAACTCATCTGCTCTTTATCAGTTCTGCAGATGTGGACAGGAAGACTTTGAACCTATTCCATTTCAATAGTTTAATAATATTAAAAACCCAACGACTGTAACATTTATCTCTGGACCTCAACAGTTTCAGTCCTTAATAAAGATGAATAAAATAATATTGTCTTCTCTTGTTCCACAGATTCGTCCAACACTACTGTCAAGATCAATGATGGCAATAACAGAAGAACCTGAGGCTCAGCAGTTCTGCAGAACTCACCACACTGACCTGATGAGTGGACTGGACCAGCACAAACTGTTTCAGGAACAGTACCCTTGGCCTTCTTTATATTGTTGGATCGGTCTGTTCCGGGACACCTGGAGCTGGTCCGACGGAAGCGACTCCTCTTTCAGAAAGTGGAACTCAGACGCATCGATATATCCACAGACAAAGAAATGTGCAGCACTGGGAGGCGAGGGCCGAAGGGAGAGCGACGACTGTGAACTAAAGAGAAGCTTCATCTGTGAAGGAGGTAAGAGAACAAGCAACAACAATTCAAGTCATGGGAGAAAGAACGTGTTTTACTTCACTTGATTTAAGTCGGATTGAAAATACAATATACAGTTCCTTGCAAAAGTATTCAACATTTCGCCACATTTCAGGCTTCAAACATAAAGATATAAACATTACATTTTTTGTCAAGAATCAACAACAAGTCGGACACAATCATGAAATAGAACGAAATTTATTGGATAATTTAAACTTTTTTAACAAACAAAAAACTGAAAAGTGGGGCGTGCAATATTATTCGGCCCCCTTGCCCTAATACTTTGTAGCGCCACCTTTTGCTGCAATTACAGCTGCAAATCGCTTGGGGTATGTCTCTATCAGTTTTGCACATCCAGAGACTGGAATTCTTTCCCATTCTTCCTTGCAAAACAGCTCGAGCTCAGTGAGGTTGGATGGAGAGCGTTTGTGAACAGCAGTCTTCAGCTCTTTCCACAGATTCTCGATTGGATTCAGGTCTGGACTTTGACTTGGCCATTCTAACACCTGGATACGTCTATTTGTGAACCATTCCATTGTAGATTTGGCTTTATGTTTTGGATCATTGTCCTGTTGGAAGATAAATCTCCGTCCCAGTCTCAGGTCTTTTGCAGACTCCAACAGGTTTTCTTCCAGAATGGTCCTTTATTTGGCGCCATCCATCTTCCCATCAATTTTAGCCATCTTCCCTGTCCCTGCTGAAGAAAAGCAGGCCCAAACCATGATGCTGCCACCACCATGTTTGACAGTGGGGATGGTGTGTTCAGGGTGATGAGCTGTGTTGCTTTTACACCAAACATATCGTTTTGCATTGTGGCCAAAAAGTTTGATTTTGGTTTCATCTGACCAGAGCACCTTCTTCCACATGTTTGGTGTGTCTCCCAGGTGGCTTGCGGCAAACTTTAAACAAGACATTTTATGGATATCTTTGAGAAATGGCTTTCTTCTTGCCACTCTTCCATAAAGGCCAGATTTGTGCAGTGCACGACTGATTGTTGTCCTATGGACAGACTCTCCCACCTCAGCTGTAGTTATCTGCAGTTCATCCAGAGTGATCATGGGCCTCTTGGCTGCATCTCTGATCAGTCTTCTCCTTGTTTGAGATGAAAGTTTGGAGGGACGGCCGGGTCTTGGTAGATTTGCAGTGGTCTGATACTCCTTCCATTTCAATATAATTGCTTGCACAGTGCTCCTTGAGATGTTTAAAGCTTGGGACATCTTTTTGTATCCAAATCCGGCTTTAAACTTCTCCACAACAGTATCTCGGACCTGCCTGGTGTGTTCCTTTGTCTTCATGGTTCTCTCTGTGCTTCAAACAGAACCCTGAGACTATCAAAGAGCAGGTGCATTTATACGGAGACTTGATTACACACAGGTGCATTCTATTTATCATCATCAGTCATTTAGGACAACATTGGATCATTCAAAGATCCTCACTGAACTTCTGGAGTGAGTTTGCTGCACTGAAAGTAAAGGGGCCGAATAATATTGCACGCCCCACTTTTCAGTTTTTCATTTGTTAAAAAAGTTTAAATTATCCAACAAATTTCGTTCCACTTCACGATTGTGTCCCACTTGTTGTTGATTCATGACAAAAAATTAAAATGTTATATCTTTATGTTTGAAGACTGAAATGTGGCGAAATGTTGAAAGGTTCAAGGGGGCCGAATACTTTCGCAAGGTACTGTAGAAATGATACTGTTTTATTCTTGGCATATTTCACAGACAAGCTTTTATATTTGAAGTTATTCAAGCTTTTTAATTATTTGTGATTTTACTCTGTGTTTACGATTCTCTTGGGTTATGAGGCGTTGTTTTGTTTAGGAAAGGCGCTATACAATCAAAAGTTGAATGATTGATTGATTGATGTTTTTCAGGTCCAAAGAGAAAAAAGACTTTGGTGAAAATAAAAATGTCCTCAGCAGTGGATCTCAACAAATTCAGCTCCGAGATATTGGAACAGGTTTGTGTAGTTAAGATTTTGAATATTTCCTGAAACGTGACAACTTTAAAACAGGAGATAGCACTCTGGATAGCACTCTCGCTTCTCAGCAAGAAGGTCCTGGGCTCGAATCCCGGTCGGATTTTCAAAAAGGAAAAATCTTCCTTACAGAAAAATGAGCTTTAATTGTGTGGAGCATACGATTGAGCACAGTGTAAGTCATATTTGTCAGAGATGAAGTGTATTGTATGTATTTACTTGTGGGTTTCTTGTTCATGGGATCAGGCCTAAAGAGCTGCTTTTACAACATCTCTGCACCTACTGCTGATTCTGTATCAATAGTGTGCAGTATCATTTGTTCCATTCACTTAATCGACCCAAAAAGAGTGCGATAATGTTGTTTTTATGATGGTGTGTTTAGTTGTGTAGTTAACTAAAAGGTTTTGTATCTGCACTTTTCTTTTAAAGTTAAATCTACTTCAATAATGTGTGTTTTTCTATTAGTAAAATGATTTGATCTTTTCAAAGTTAAAGGACTCAAAATGTGCACAACTGCAAATGATATGTGATTTAAGGAAATAAAAACAGAAACAAGACATAGGGATGGACTGTAGACTGTATATATTAACAGACGTAGTCACGCCTATCTCCGCCGTTCTGACTAATGGGCCAAAAATTGGGCTGTCATGGAGTGATTCAAAATGGCCGCGGGGGCTGGAAAATGTGAAAAAACGCCTCTGTGCATGCATCAGCCGGAGCGAGCTCCATTCATTTAAACGAGTGACTTCAAAAATTCACAACGGGTAAACCAGAGTGGTCCAAAAAAGCTTTGGGCCAAGAGCCAACTTTTGGACCATCCTGTAAAGGTGTTTTCGAGATGTAAGAAGATGCTATACAGCCAATAAGATGCATTGGCTAATTCTTATTCCGGGTCCACCCCCATCGGCCTGGGGTGGTATTACAAGTCATTTTGGCCACTTTTGAGCCGTGTGTGTGTGTGTGTGTGTGTGTGTGTGATGGACTTTTCCCACACTTACTGTAGGTCCCAGAGTCAAATCAGTTTAATGTTTGACACAGATTTCACTTCTGTAAAAGACGGTTTGATGAAGTTCAGATGGAAAAGGTTGTGTTCCTGCTGAGGCCTGAGTCAGCAACTCACTGATGATTACTGCTGAGGCGACAACTCACTTCAACTTTCAGCACATGATTCACTTTTGTAAAATGGTATCGTTTCTGAAGAGACAGAAAACTGCCAATATATTAAACACATTAAAAATGAAGAAATAAGTAAATATCTATACTTTGGAAAATAAGAAAACAATACATGTTATTATCATTGTTTATTGTTTGTTTATTTTTTCTGTATATTTTATCTGTATATTATTTTTATCTGTATATTATTTTTTCAGAATAAACATTTAACGCAGACAAACAATTATATTTTTTGTTGTTGCTTTATTGGATTAATAATTGGTTTATAAACTGCTTTTTAAAGATGCTTACACAAAGATTGCACTATTTACTCTTTTCCTTTTGAATCAACTGGAAAGAGAATCTTAAGAAGAAATAGACCTCTGATGCTGTGCAGGTCAGGGCCTGGTTAGAACAGTGATGGGAGACCTCTGGGACTCCAGGTGCCTCAGTGGGGCAGCTGCAGTTGTTAATTGCCAAACTGTTATTGTGTCCTCAGGCAAGACACCCACATAGAATGAGTCTGATGTGTGCGTGAATGGTTGGTGTTGGTTGGAGGGGCTGATGGTACATACTGTCAGTGTGCCCCAAGGCAGCTGTGGCTACAGAGGTAGTTGATCACCACTGTGTATGGAGTGAATGAATGTTTTTATTAATTTATTATTTTTGATGGTTCTGGTGCTTTATACATTTCTCCACGCTACTGTCCTTATGAGCGCTGAACCGAATCAAAGTTCTCTTCTCTTACTTCAAACCACTAGAAGACACTCATATCAACAAGTGAGTTATAAACACATTATTTTTCTGAACAATAGTGTAGGCCTGTTTTATTTGTTGTCAATATTTTCTAATTAAATGAGTAAGTTACAGTTATGTTTTATTGTCACTCTAAGGCCTTTTGTCCTCTGCATTTGACCCATACTTCAATGCCCCTACAGGTGCTGTGTCTGGAGCAGTGCCGCTACAGAGGCGTTGAGAATGATCTCGACATCAATCTTTATTATTGGTTGAGTGATTGATTCTTTGAATTGTTAATTAAAACAAAAACTGGACCCACCCTTTATCTGTTCTAACTTTAACAGAAAGTGATGTACTCGTAGTTATAATACTAGAAGATTATTTGGGAACAGGCCTACAGAAAAAGCAGACGAAAATGTACAGACGCAAAGCTGCCACTAGATGGAGCTGAGGTCGTAATGAAGAAGAGCTCACTGAAGAGGCACGTGAGATGGATCATGTCTGTGTTTTATCCGTCAAATCTCCCTGTCATTAAGTAATGAGTTCAAAAACAGATATCTAAACATGTTATTGTGTCAAAAAGTTGTATTCCGCGTCAAAACGTGGTGTCATTGATGGTGCATTTAAAAGGATTTCCTCCATAAGGAGTGAAACTTTATTTGTGTTGCACAAAAATACATCCAGATTTTCAAAAAAGAACTGCTTGGTAAAGAGCAAAATATAAACTGTAGCTTTTCACATATTTTTTTCTATAGGCACTTATTTCCAAATGCCAGCCAAGTTGCCTTTTTGAAGGATTGCATGTTATTTACAATGTCATGATCTATAGAAAACATACATTTACAAATAATACTTTAGTCCTATTTTATTTTTCCCGTTTCAGTCGCCAATCTGACCCTTAAAATGAACAATGATTAAATTTTCTATTTTTTACTTTTATTCAATTCAATGTATTTTTGTAAAGCTCTAAATAACAACAGTAGTTATCTGGAAGGACTTTACAAAACTGTTGAATTCCCCACCACAGATCAGAGAATCAAACACAAGACATACAATGGTAGAAAACACATAGTCATTGGTCCATAAGGGGCAGAGACCAATGTCCATATAACGCTAACACAAAGAAAGGATTGAGGCACTTTCATTGTGACATCCAGCCAACTTCAGCTCCACCAAAATCATTCTATACCACCTTGTAACGCTCAGAACCTTTGGAATCTCAACTTTGAATACACTAACATTTATTTTTGTGTCAGATACATCCATATATGATGATGATGTGGCTGCATAGTGTCAGTCAATATGGACATTTCCAACCCCATTTTTTAGCCCAGAACAGAATCTAGTCAAAACGTTTTTTTGTTGTTGTTGTTTACAATCCTGGACAAGTCTGGTGAACTAAAGTCTAAACTAAAGTGGCCTCTAACTAAAACATTTGGACACTCCTGTTTTAGAGAATAAGGATTTGTATTAACACGTGTATAAGATAAGACAAGAGAATAATCGTACCACAGTGGGGACATTTTGACATAGAATATTTGAATATGAAAAACATATTTAGTCAGAACAAAACACCTGAATCCAGATGTTTCAAAATGTTAAAACAAAACTGCAAATATCGCTCCTCAGTCCTAATAATTCAATAAGCACAAAATACTGATAGTGATAAGTGTAAAAGTACTTGCATTTGGGACTTACATCTTTGTTTTGACTTTTTAAAAATGCATACACGCCAACAGAACATTATCAATAACAATAATCACAAACATCTAAAGCCTTCTGCCTGCAGTGCCGGTTCTAGTCTTCAGGGGGCCCACGGCAAAATGTGTTTGAAGGGCCCACTCCACACTCAGGGGCAGGTGGACCAGCACTTACCACACAGGGCAAGTGGAAACAGTTCTATTTTAAAGAGGTTTAACAGTCAATTTCCATCAAAAAAATAAATACATAAACAAATAATAGAACTCAAATTAGAAGGAGGAAGTTCAGGAAAAAAAAAAGTGGTGACTGACAATGTATGTGTTTAAATTTGTCTGCTTGAGTGTCTATATGAGACGTTTTGGTTGAATTAAAATGAAAAACATAAACAAGGCTGTTGTTGTCCAAGGTAAAAAAAGATTTGGGTTTTAGTTTGAATGTTATCCATGTTCTGTCACATTGTCGGGCAGTGTCAGGGGCCTCTTGGACTTCAGGGGTCATATCCTGTTTCTGTCTAAAACGCAGTAAAATGTATGGTCTAGATCAGTATTTTTCAACCATGTGTGCCTTAAGATGTTGTTTGTGTGCCTTGGGAAATATTCCAATATCAAAATAATGTGAAAAGAAAATATTGTCAGAAGAGTAGAGAGATTTGTTGCGCTCGTTTCATTTTGTAAATATGTCAACTTTGATTAGAATAACTTTGCTTTTGTACAAAAATGAAAAAGGTGTGCCATGGCTACAAAAAGGTTGGGAGACGGAGGAGACAGGGCCAGAGGTGAGAAACAGCCGTAGAACATTCAGATTTGTGCTCATAAACTTATCTATGTGACATTTGGGAATCTCTTTAAAGAGGCGTCCAGAGGAGGGGGTCCAAACACAATCCTATTCATACGGTCTGTAGTTTTCTTTACTGGGAGCGTCTCTCACTGACCACAGTCACCACCGCACTGTGTTGCCAGGTCTTTGTGTTGATAGAGGACACATGAGTTATAATATCTGGTCACCTGTGATGTGTTACTCTAAATAAACTTGTAATGTACATCTGTGTTACAATAGTATTTTTTTTTTTTTTTTTGTATTGTGAGTTATGTTGTTCCACACAGTGATATTAACTAATCATCTGTGTTTCCTCAAATATTTGCAAACAGAGAGAAATCAAAGCACATTTTACTTACAGTCAGTTTGCTTTCAGTTTATTACTTTTTTAGCTTTGATAATAATCAATGTTCACTTCTGTTACTTCAAATACTGTAAACAAAATAAGAAATGGTTATAAGAGCAGTTGGGGATCTCACAAATATGAAAATTCAGAATAAAGAATTATAGGATAATAAACAAGAAGCGAATAGTGAGAATAGTCTCCAAATTATCAACTTGATTTCAAAAGAATTTGAAAAATATACTGTTTAATCAATGTGTGCATGCATCGCCCAAAATCACAAGAGCAGTTTTGCCGAAGCAGATTAGAAAGACAAATTATTATTACACAAACAAATACACAAATAAAACACATGGATCTATTATTCCATAAATGTTCACGTGTTTTAGTGACAAAAAGTGTCTGGACTAAAATCACGTGATGTTATCACTGTGGGGTTCTCCTGTGACCTTCACACTCAGACCGGAGCAGAGTACTCCTAGGAGGACAGTATACTCGAGTTCAGTACAGTACCGTGCCCAGTGGTCAGTGCAGCAAGGGGCCGAGCGGAGCTCGTGGTGCGTTCAGGGCCTCTCTGTAAACCTGGACGTGATAATCTCTTGTTTGGTTTCACGCACGAGCTCTGACATCATTGGACGTCGTCACCTCGGGTCTAAACGTGTCGTGCGCTCTGATTGGACATTTAGGCCCAGCGCTGCCTGTGCGCGTGCGTGAGCGCGTGCGTGTGGTTGATGAGCTGTGAGGACGCGCTGAACGAGGCCACTCACCATGACGCGGAGAGCGGAGTGCTGCCCGCGAGCCACCGCCCCCGTGGACATGTGTTAGATCCAAGGAGGACCAGAGGAGGACCAGAGGAGGACCAGAGGACCAGGGCCAGGGGAGCGTACGGGAGCGTACAGGAGCTTACCCGGACTGTGGAGCAGACCTCAGTGAGGCCGGGACATGGAGGAGCGACGCGGCAGTGCGTCAGACAGCGGTGAGGACAGCGCGTCTCCGCCGCTGCCGCACCGCGTCACTAACTTCTTCATAGACGACATCTTGAGGCCGGACTTCGGCCGAAAGGACGCGTCACGGCCGCACGGCTCTGGGCGTGTGACCCTGCGCCTGCACGGCCCCGGGACCCCGTGTCGGGACTCCAGCTCCAGCTGCAGCAGTGACTCTTCCCCCGCGTGCCCCCGGAAGAACGGGGAGCGCGTGGAGCCGGCGACAGCCGCCGCGAGCGCAGCGGGAGGCAAAGAGGAGCGCTCTGGCTCCGCGGACAGCGCGGGGCCCAGTCCCGAAAAACAGCCCATGTTGTGGCCCGCCTGGGTCTACTGCACCCGCTACTCGGACCGGCCCTCATCTGGTAAGAGGCGCACGAGCCCCTGTGCGCGCCGCCGCCGCGGGACCCGCACCGGACACACGCATGGGTTAGAACGTTAGGGCTTGGTATAAGGACATTTAATTTTATATATTAACCCACTCACTCTAAACATTTACATTTTACATATAGACCTATATACGAAGACACACTTTAAGATAATATTCGTATTTTGCAAATTAACCTATAACCAGTCTGGTTGTAAGGAATACACACACACACACACACACACACACATCCAAACACACACACTCTTTCACACATACACGCCTTTGAAATAAGTTTAGACCGTTTTAGTCTGCAAAAAAAACTCGATGAAGGCTGTGCGTAAAAAAGATTTGAAAATGCAACTGTAATTAAACAATCACAACAAATAGTGTAGCTTAAAAAATAGCCTGATAATATCAGTAGTTGTAGTAGTAGTAGTAATAATAGTAATGATAGTAGTTATATAATAGTATAATAATACATGGATTATGATAAATAATATTAGGCTATTTTAATGGGCGCATAATTGCAATGTTGTAAACAGAGGCTAATTACGCAGGATGTACAACGAACTATTAGACCTACACCGAATTATTAAAAATATTATCACTTTATTATTTAATTTATTCTATGTTTTGTAGCAGTTCTTCTTGGCCCCGTGAGCACAATGCTACCATCATGAATCGAATCCCTGCATGAATAAGCTCCATTCGTGACATAATAATTAGAACTTGTTTTTCCATAAAGTCCAGTTCGCGCCACGTTCACCGCGCGCTATTGTCAAAATACAGCGTGTGTTTTGATCAGTGCAGTGACTGACAGCCGCTTTCTCCGCGAGAGCTGGACCGTAAACAGGCCTCACACAAACGAAGGGACCAAAACAATTATACAGAAATCACCTTTTTAGATATAAATATACAGCTTAATAATGAATGGGTTTTAATTGTATTATTATTATTATTATTATTATCATTAGACTGTAGGATATTGAGCAATATTACGCGCGCTGTTTATATGTGAATGCCCCGTGAGCTCAAAATACTATTACTTTATGTATTATTTGTTAGTATTTCATAACACGATACAGAATATTTGTATGAAATTGTATATACTATTTTGATAGCTCCATGTAGCAAAACATGTTGCAGTTTTATTAGAATCAAAATGTGTTTTATTGCCATTGCAAGTAACAGCAAGTCACAAACTATAGGAATTTGCTTTGGCTCATGGTGCAAACAAGTTATAAAAGTAAAAATATATAGACGTGCATAAAGAAAAACAAATCATGGAATTTTTACTACTACTACACTATACTACTATATACTGTTCTACTCAGAAAAGAGGGCACACTCAAGAGTATTTAATTTAATTTTATCTATCTATCTATCTATATCTTGGCCAAGTTGGACTGCTTTTATCGTTTACTTTTATTGATTTACACTGATTTTCGAAACCTTTTTATTTTTTTCACATTTCTGGGGATAGTTTAAATATGTTCTATGTATTTGTTTTAATGCTTTCATGTGCAGATATAGATACATACAGTGTGAACTTCGGCTTTTTAACATAGAAGATGTGTTTTATATGTGTGCTTTTCTGGCTTTTGGATTTCGCTTGGATTCGCTCATATGATTGAATTCAATATTAAAGTATTCCACTAATAATTACACCTATAATATTATAACAACGTAATGCACAAATCGTGGTGCACACATGACCTGCATGTTCTGTACGTGTTTGAAAGGTGTGGAGAAAGAATGAAAGAATTGTGCGCACTGACTCGCGTAATCTTAAACCCGTTTCGTGCGTATATCTGGCAGTATTTTTTCTAATCCGCGCGTCAGGAGTGATGGTAATCCTTTCACAGTTTGAACCAAAATATATGACGTTTTATCAGACTATAGATACAATCGAAAATGTTTACGAATATACGGGTAATTTAGTGTCAGCGAATGACTGTTTTTGTTTTTCTTCGCAGCCTTTGTGACATGTAACAGCTAATACATCTCAAATCTCACCGCGACAAATATAAGTCTTTTCGTAAATAGTTTTTGATTGTATAATTTAATAATGTCACGCTAAAATGCGTGTTAACTGCATAAACGTACTGTCCCATCTGAATTTAAAACTATATTGTTTTGAAGGAGGCTGTGACGTCATATCATATCCATACGTTTATGAATAGTTTATTTATAAAGAAAAAAGGCATTTAATTTATTATTATTTCTGGATTTTTTTGTATTATTATTATTTTGCTCAGCGTCGCACAAAATGGCAACCACCTCCATTGCTGTAATCACCGGTTGGATAGAAACAGGCTGTGAATGAACTGCGGTATCTCAATAAAACTAAATGGTCGCTCCCACATGCAGTCGTAAAGAAGAACGTTGGTGCGTTGTGCTGTGAGTCTCGAAAAAGTAAAAACACTTGATAACATTGAGACTAGTGATATCTTAAATCAATCCACAAGCATATGTTTATTTATTCATTCTTATAATTATTTTTATTTTCCTATATTTATTAATTTAGTCTTATATTTATTTATTTATTCTTACAAAAAATCCCGTTTCGTTGGCAAATAATGATTTTGTGAATGGTCCTAAAAGCGTATTGTTTTTGCTATGCATTCATAAAAGTAACTATACTAAAATAATGCAACTATTGAGTTCTGTATGAATTAGGTTCGCAACATACTTTCGCTCATGTGTTGTCTGAAATATTCTAAACGCCCTCGATTGGAATCAACTGTTTATTATTGCAGACTTTACATTTTAGATCTTTTTCATTAATCTTTCTATATTTCTTCTGCGTACAATATTGATTTGATGATTCACAATTGAGGCGCGTGCTGTTACCAATAAGTCTGCACCGTGTTGATTTATGTATTTATTTTCTTTTTCGTTCCTAAAATAGAGGCTAAACGAAACCAATATGTAACGTCTAACCCTTAAAATCCGTTCCTCCCCTTGTATCCTTTACCTGCATCAAATAACGAAAGACTGATAATTTAAAAAGAAAAAACACAATAGAACTTTATACGAGCTCTGTCGCCTTTTCTGCGTTTAAGTATAACCTCCAAAATATTGTAAAGCGCGTTGGGTGACCTTATAGGCTGTGAAATACGCTATATAAATAAATATCAATCATTTACTAAGAAGACGTGGTGCTTCATGACGCGTGGCTGAAGTGCGTATAGGAGCCTCCTTTAAAGCTCGTTTTTGCAATATTTATTTATTTATTTATACCTTTACAAAAACAAAGTCACCCATTGAATGTGACCGTGTTGTAATCTGATAATATCCCCCAATTCAAAATCTATAAGGGAATTATTGTTGTTTACAATTGAATTTTTTCCCAACTTATTTTTTGTATCGTGTTCACGTTCATTTCTTTGCTCGTTGAAAAGATATTATTGGTGTAAATGTTGGCCTATGCCTAATCACAGGGTAACAAACCGGTGAGCAATGTTACTAACTGTTGTCCACATGCTTTAAATAAAAATCGTTTAAAAAAACAAAACTAAACAAAAACCGCGAATCTAAACCATTAAGATTAGGCCTGTATTGGTAAAGAAACCCATTTAACATGCGCCTACACTGCTGCTGCTCCTGCTGCTGCTCCTGCTGCTGCTCCTGCTCCTGCTGCTGCTGCCAGAGCTATTCAGACATACAATAGATTTTCCCCAGTCCCCCAAATATAATAGGCCCATACATATTTTTTTTTCGTGATTTTTTTCATAATTTCCGCTCCCTTTTCTATTCAAGCGAATTTTCGAGGTCATATTCAAATTATGTTGCATTCACACCATAATTCTCTGTTAAATTATCAAGAAAGTGTACACAATACAATAGACGAATACAAAATATCCTATCAATTACAAATGGACATTTCTGTTTAAATTGAGTGGTTTTATATCAAGAGTTGTTGTTGTTTAGAATTCCAAATCATAAATGGCACCTGTCCCCATGCGCTCATCCTGACATGGGTAAGTAAGTAAGTAGTAAGTAAGCCTAATGGACGCATGGTTGCGCTTGAAACTTGGGCCCTGTACCTAAAAACGTCAATGCGCGTCAAATGGCACGCGTCTCGTCTCCACGTTTAGGCCTTTAAGTATACGGTATAATCTGACGTGTGGAACCCAAAACAACTCGCCTCAATTGCCCCACATTCTGCACGCGCTCTTTTTTTTTTTCAATTTTTTTGCCCGTTCAATGTCGTTGCGCTCCAAAGCCCCGTGCGTATAAATGACGACCCACCCGCCCCTCTTTCTGAATCCCCCTCTACTCACGCTCGCAGGTGGCAACACAAACGTGCCCACTGCGTAATGATGAAATGGATGAAGAAAAAAATGTCACTCAACAATGGCTGAAGAAAATTGGTCTTGGCCCATACACTTAATCTCAAGAAATAGGTCTGTGTGGGTCTCATGGTCTGCGGGATGGATGCGGCTGAAAACTGCATTCGTTTAGAAATATGCCTAACTTGTTCTTTGGTTACATGCAGTTTAACGATCAAAATACAAAATGTATTCAATGCCACAATATTTCAATCAATATCAATCAATATTAATATAATTGTAAAGCAAATTTCTGTACAGACAAGTGAAAAACAATATTAATCTTAATTCACAATTAACAAACAAAACAAAAAAAACATGGGGAAACATCACAGGCTTTTTATTCCAATGCCTTTAGAGAAAATAACATAAATATGTAAAACAAATAAAAGTTAATATTCACCAAAATGTTAGTGTATTCTTGTGGAGTATTAACAAGTATCATAAATACTGTTGTGTGTATATATCACCCTTTATTGGCTTTTCTCAATGTGGGGTTCATGTGGCCCGGAGACCAGACTTTGGGTCGGTGGTCCAACTCTCTGCACCAGATTTTTTCAGTTCTGTCGGGCTCATAAAATGCGTTTCACCTACCACCTATCCCCACACATTTCTCTGGACTACTTCAGATCATTACATGACGGAACAAAGCCATCTCCAGATTGTTAACTCGGTTTGGTCACCTAGCATGTAGCAGGGATTTGCCTAGTTGGGTTAGGGCTAGGAAAATACATTCATTTTATTCTTTTATATTCTATTCACTAAAACTGGACTAAAATCATGCTAAAACCAGACAAAAGCCAGTCCAAAACATGTGCAAAAAACCCAAAGTGTGAATCCTGAATAATTGGCCTGATGCTTTTGAAGGGCTGTGATTAATTTCCAGATAAACTTCTGATAACAAAGAGCACATTTATGATTCTGCTCCGGTGTGAGAGGCCTTTTTCTTGACAGATGTGTTTGTCATTGTTTAGCTGCACTTTTATCTCTATTTTCACTTGGTTGGAGACCGTTGACAATAACATTACGGTCCATACCATGCATATCATCACATCTGTTTTTCAAAACACCCACAAATGACACAAAAATTGCATATTCGTATCGAGATGCACTTTAGGAGGAGACAACCCGACTCTGTTTGATCAAAAGTATAGGCTTGTCTGATTTGAACAGACTGTTGCTATTGATTCTCTCATTTAATAGACAAATATACATCATAGTAAAGCCAAGCAACTGCAATGAAAGTAAAGTATTCTCATTATGTCAAAATACAAATCAAATAAATTGGACCTAGGAAATAAAAAGTACGGTCATGATCGCATACACTAGCATGCAAACAACAGCAGCCAAGACATTTCACATTGTGCAGTGTTTAATGCTTTGAATCTTTTCGTGATGTCATCATTGTTATGTGCTGTTGTTGTTTGTTCACAGTCTTTTCAGATGGAGTAAGTAAGTAAGTAATATTTATTTATATGGCGCATTTTTACAGACCAAGGTCACCCAAAGCGCCGTACAACGCTCAGAGTCCAGATATTATGGATGGAGGAAATAGGGTCTATCTAACACATATTCTACAACTCGGATCTTCAAAGCAAAGGAAGTTTTCTCACCCATCATCTGTACTTCTTAGCAGGTTTTCCCGAGGTTTTTCCGACTAAAAAGTACAGATGATGGGTGAGAAACCTTCCTTTGCTTTGACCGATCCCTGTACGGCTGAGAGCTTACACAAATCAAATCTTCAATGCGTATGGAGTAACTTTAGTATTTCTTTGGCGGCACAGTGGTGAGCAAGATGGTCCTGGGTTCGATTCCACAGGGGTTTCGGTGTGGAGTTTTTATGCTTTCCCTGTGTCTGTCTCTAAAAACATGTGCAAACGGTCTGGAATGGGCCTCCCCACTCCCATCGTTGTGTGAGAGACAAAATGCCCCAAAAAAACGACAAATTGTAAAGCTCTTTGTGACTCTGATCTGTGAAAGGTGCTATATACATAAAGATTACTTACTACTTTCTTAAATGTTCAAATTTGATCCACAAATGTTAAACGTTCTCATTATTTGTCTGGTATTGTCGCTGCAAATTCTTAAAACTGGCAATAATTGTGTTGATATAAACCATAAACAAATCTAAAACCAGGGAGGGGAGTAGCAAATTGTCGTCTCATCAAATAGAACAGGAGCCAAAACTTTTACCAAGAGGCAGAAATTGCTTTAATTTAAGTCGGTGACGTGGGTTCGATTCCTGGTCTGGAATTGTTTCTGTTTCGAGGCATGAAATCCAAATAAGAGATTTCATGTAATTGTCTCGTGTTGGGCCATGGATAGATTATAGTCCTCTATCTTACGTCAAAGTGACTGATGACTTATCACCCGTAACGGCGTTCCCATTCCCCAAAGTTCAATTCCCATCGATTCGTAGCTTGCAGTGCTCATAAAATGTGTTTCACATACCACCTATCCCCACGCATTTTTCTGGACTACTTCAGATCATTACATGACAGAACAAAGCCATCTCCAGATTGTTAACTCGGCTTGGTCACCTAGCATATAGCAGGGATTTGCCTAGTTGGGTTAGGGCTTGGAGGCTTGTGGTCAAAAACAAATTTTGTTCGAGATCTCCATACTTTTCATTTTGTATATTGATCAAATTATTGCCTCCGAATTTCCCGACTAAAGGAGTACATGCCAAACTGGACCAAAACTAGCAAGGGCTGACACTGACTGACCAGTTAGTATTATCCATAGCGTTCTGGTTTCAATGTTAACAATAGAATACAGTATATGGTAATCTTCTTGAGGAGATTAGCTTTAAAACAATGTAAAACCAGCTATTGTAGCCCATTTCCACCTCTTTCTATCAATGAAATGTCAAGTTCCTCTAGTTATACCCTGGGGTACCCCTTGGCGTCCGCGTACCCCTGGTTGGGAAACACCTTTGTTTTTCACAAAATGAAGAAGTCTTTCATGGGCCAAAACATACATCCTGTTTGTGCGTCGGAGCATGTCCCCGTGCCACACTTTTAGAACCCCCTTCTATAGACGTTCTAGAACAGCGTCATATGAAGAAACCTCTACGGTCTTTCAATAGAAGGTCGTAAAACATTTGTAATAACTGTTATGATAATTTGGTTTTACTGAAAGACCTCACATGGCACTTTAGACCCAGGAACTTGCTATTACCTCATTGCAAAGAGTGACGTTTAGATTGCCGTGCGCAAAGTCATACGTTTAAACAAAAAAAGAAAATAAGAAAAAAATTGCACAGTACGACAGAGACAATCATAGACTTCATCCACTGCACTGTTATTTCTGCTGAGCGGGGATCAAAAACAGCCATCATTACACTAAACAAGCTGTAAACCATGCTTTTACTTTTTATTCTGCCATTCGTGTATTCTGGAAGAACCATTTCACATTTACATCCAACGATAAAGGTCTTTATACTGTGTTGTTTGTGTTAAAAAACAAATACAAATTTATATAGAAATGTTGGGCCATTATCTTGCACATCACGTTGGCATTTCATATTTTATAAGTTGTCTCTGTGTAGATATGTAACAGCAGTTTAATGGGATCTGCAATGCCTTCTTCTGTTATAGAAGTTAGTAGATTTACTAAAGATAAGACGTTACTAAACTGACTCTATTCTGCGTTGCTCCCAAACCTGTCTTGCTGCTCTGGTCCCAGTCTACATTTGAGGCAATTCTGATTGATCTGAGTATCGCAACGTTTATAAAAGAGTCTTGTATCTTTGCCTCAGCTCTCAAACTTTGGAACAGTTGTGAATTAAATTGATATCATAAATGCTGTATGGGGGCGAATGTAAGCATGCAACATCTTGTTTGGTTTGAGTGTTTTGTATGTGCGCTGCAACACCCATGATGATTTAAGGTTCCATTCATCCATTTTCTTCCTTTTCATCTGTCGCCGGGTTGTGAGGGCAGCAGTCTAAGCAGAGACACTTTGCAGATACTTTCTCTTATCATTTCCTCACACGTGCTTAACTGCAGCAGAAGTCTTTACCTTTTCACATTATTACAATCACCAATTAAACAGATAGACAGGAACTATGTTCTTCGTCACAATGACAAAAAAAGAGTGAGTCACCTGTACACGTCCAAATACATTTCCCTATGCTCATAAACGCATCTGCTTTATTTTGAAGACCAGAAATGCATCACTGTCCTTAGACCCTCCTGCATCGGAAAGGAATGACCAAAAAACCCCAAAAATCAGTGGGACAAAAGTGAAAGTTCAAAGGTTCTTGAAATTGTTCAATTTAGTTTCACCAAACAAACTGTTTTGTCACATCTGTGCGTGCCCAAGTTTATATGTGTCTTGCTCAATTGCATCAAAGTGAACTATTCTCTATAGGTTAATGCAATTAGAGTGGAGAAATGCCAAGAATGCTTTTTAAAAGGAGACAATATACAATAGACAGATTACCAAAGGTAGAATCCAATTCTCTGCGAGTTTGGAGTGGAGTGGATGAAATATTTGTTAGATTAGTTAGATTATTAGTTTGTATTACCTTGTTAACATGTCCTGGCCACCTTCAAACTATAATGTCTTTCAAAAGAACCACAATAAATATCTTTACTCATCAAGACAAATTTTATCTTTTTGAATCATCAACAGTGGATGAAGCCAGGTGTGTTAAAGACAGTAAAATGGTTGTCAAAAGTCAGTTTTTCAAATTATGTTTCAATTTTCAATTGGGACAATAAGTACAGTAGCAAACTGTTTTGATTTTGCATATTCACATTCCCGCTTCTCTGTTCGCTCCCACTGCAGGCCCACGAACGCGCAAACTCAAGAAAAGCAAGAGCGGCAAGGAGGACAAGCGGCCGCGGACGGCGTTCACCGCGGAGCAGCTGCAGAGACTGAAGACCGAGTTCCAACTCAACCGCTACATCACGGAGCAGCGGCGACAGAGTCTGGCCCACGAGCTCAACCTCAACGAATCCCAAATCAAAATCTGGTTCCAGAACAAACGCGCCAAGATCAAGAAGGCGTCCGGCTTCAAGAACGGCCTGGCGCTGCAGCTGATGGCGCAGGGGCTGTACAACCACTCCACCACCACCATCCAGGACGAGAAGGAGGACAGTGACTGAGGGAGGGGTCCCACCTGGTGCTGGGGGATGTCAGTGAGTCTGTGCTGGTCTGGAGGAGAAAGTGCTGTTTTTAAAGGACACATATTGCAGGTTTTTGTTTGTTTTGTTGCCCCAGACATTCTTTTGAGTGCACTTGTTTTTCTATCCTGTGTTTTATGGACTAAAACTGGCACAGGGCGAAAATATAGAGCTAGAGATTGGGAAGTCACGTGTTGTACATTTGTTAGCATGTGTTCAACCAGTGAGAACGGTTTAACACATTTCAATCCCCATTCTGCGATGGAGCATCATTCTAAGATTATTTTGCGTTTTTACAATATTAATTAATTTTACAAGATACATTTTTGGAGTCAAATAAACTTCAACTTTATTCTTGCAAAATTTTATTCATATAATATTACAAGGTTAATCTCATAATATTGCAAGTTTAACTTTATTCTCATAATATTTCCACTTAAGTCAAAATATTCTTACTTTATCTCAAAGCGTCAGGCAAAAAATAAAAAAAAAATTGCTCCATCGTACCATAGACATGTTTTCTTGGCAGTAAAATGCCACGACTCTTTTACTTTGACTATTTTACAATCATTAAAATTGCTGAGAGGTTTATGAATAACTTTAATTACAGTGATTTAGAAGAGAACATGCATCGAATGGCTTTGCCCCGTACAATCTGGTGGAATAAGTGCAATGGTGAAACAGTCATTTTGGTTGTGATCAGCTGTTGTGTGTTTTTGAAGAGAACATGTTTCTCTGCAGTTCAACAATTGTATTAGGCATAATATGTGTCCTTTAAAAGATATATCCATGGTAAAATCCACAATTACTGAACCCGATCAATGGCTATTTGTTTTCATCTCTATGAGCCAGCCCAATTTCATTTTTGGAATCGGTACAAAGCTCGTCAACGGGACAGAAGTCACTTTCGAGCTAGTATATACACTACGTCTACAATATTTGAATTTCTATGTCACACAATCAAAGATCAGCCACACAGTTTAAGTTTTAGCTAGTCTGATTACCAACCAATAAGTGTTGAAAATGAGCTACAGTAAAACAAGCAATTTCATTTTGCGATTATACAGCTCTATCCAAAATTGATTTTTTTTACTAAAAAATTTTGTTTAGACGAGTGAGGAATTCGGAATCTGTTTTATCGAGTTTTAAAATGTTCATATCCATCCTCTCCACTGCAATCCAAACGCCATACATTTATATAGAAAAACGACAAGACAGAATTACACCGAAATATAAGCATAACAAAAACGCAAAGCAAGGACAAAAAAGGGACATACAAAAGACACAAAAACAAACAAAAAATGAGACAAAGCAAAGGATTTCTTAACATTCACACAAAAATTAAACATGTCCTTCATAATCACAATTTCTTTCCATTGATACGGCATCCCGAATTAGCTTTGAACCCTTAAACATGGTCAAAACAAACAAAAAAGCCTATGTATGCAATAGTCTAATTTAAATTTAAAATGCAATGTATCATGGGTAAAATATGAATATTTCCAAGCAACTGTGGATTTGACTTTCAGATATACAACAGCACTGATATTTTGGATTTTTGACCTCGTCTGAGAAATGGATACTGTTTATTTTTTACAACCGACAAAGACGTCAATAATGGCCATCTTGTACCAGGGACTTTAGCCACAGCACCAAGCAGAGTGGGAAGTTTGCGGATACATCGTTCTCCCAAACAGAAGAGATGCCCAAACTATCGTCGGTTTGCAGATAATGACTGTTTGACAATGCCAGGGATATCCTCCAGTTTGAGAATAACGGACTTCCGAGGCACGCCATGAACCACGACAGAGGTTAAATGTCTACATGCTGACAGGTGGGGTTTGGTTAAGAATTTTGGAATATTTTGGAACTATTGAGCGCTCTTCCATTTGGAGTTTATTTTAATTTTCTGCTTTGGAATGCAAATGTTAACCACGGTAAAGAAAAGAGAATTTAGTGGAGAACTAATAGGCCAATGGGAGTGATCGTGCAGGCTTGGATGGTGTATGAGATAGGTAAGATTCAATTTAAACTCAAAATTGGACGCAACATTGTGTTTCTCTCTAGATCTGACCAATACGGTAAGACCCAGAGTATGTTCGGTTAAAGTCCAATCCAAAACAACAGAGCAAATGTCATATAATAAAGATGATAAAGACTTTAGTGACTTTAGAATTTACTGATATTGGTGTGACTCTTATCTGGTTTCTTCACCAATAACAAATAGAAAAAAGAATATTGGTCACTTGATCTTGATGGTTACTACGTCAGAAATTTTAACTTAAAGCTGGCGTACATAACTATTTTGTATTCAAACTCATACACTGTTTGTCTCCACGGTCTGGTAAAAGTAAAATATGCTGAAACAAATCAACACATACTGTATCTTACTTTAGCTGTTAGAAAATGTTCTCTCCGATTCACCAATTTGTCTCTTTGAGCTGAGAGCTGATTGGATCCCGGCGAGCTCAGGGGGCAGTTTTACCCAACATATCCTCCCTTCACTCACTATAATGCTTGAAACTTACTTAAACGTGGTTGCTAGGCTGCACACCCAAGAGCCTCTTTGTTCCTTGTATATTGAGTAATTTAGCGTAAAATACTTGAAGAGGACAAGCAGCAGAATTTGGAAAACCATCTCGGACTGGGATTATGGTCAAGCTCAGAATGCTACACTGACAAAATATATATCTGCACTACAAAAAAAGATAAAATGAGATATCAGTGTTTTTCCTCTTAATCGGAGCACATTCTGACTGTCTGATAACGAAATTTGCCAAACGGACGAAGCCATTTAAAAACTGTTGCATTTTTTTTCTCATTCCAAGGGAGAAATTTCTTTTATCTTTTCAAAAAAAGATCATTTTTTCTTCTCCCATTGGTAAATCTTATTTTAAGGCAGTCAAAAACCGTTCAAATTAAGATTCCTTTTGCCAAATTTGAGCAATTTTTTACAGATTTGTCATCACTTCGCAGCGTATGGAAACTTTGAAACCAGATGGGTCATTACAGTCTTGAATGTATTCTTTTGTATTACTTTCATTAAATTGCAATGTTTATTAAAGCACTTAAAAGTTATATTTGTGAACTGTCTCAACTGCAAAACAGAAACTATGATTGTGGTTTCACTTGGATCTTCCCTCTTGTCAGCATTTAGCAGAACACTGTGGACTGTGGCGGTGCGTGCGGCGCTGTGTACATTGTAAATATGTTATCTCGTAATTTAAAACGATGGGAGGAGACTCAAAACCAACGCCAAACCAAAGATTTCAAAAGGACTGGATGGTGGACGGTGTACAGAGGACTGGACCGCTAAAGAATCACTCTCTCTGCTGTTTCTGGATATCATTTCACAAAGGATTCACAAAACCAGCCATTTTTTTATTTTCAATGGACCAATTTATTATTTGAATGATTGATATAGCTGGAATTCGGGCAAGTGTCGACGGTGAAACATATTTTTTTACAGAATTAATCATAAAAAAGAAAAAAAATCATCCTCAAATGAAGTAGGCAAAACTGTAATATTTATTGTTTTCAATGAACTACAAAGAACAATGCAGATAATCATTGAATATTGACTATAACTGTTCCAGAACCTGAAAAAATGAGTACTAAATATAATTAAAAAAAATAGATACTCTATATCTATAGAGTATAATTGTTTAGTTATTTTCTCAAACTGTTTCAAACATTCCTCTCTAAAGTCATAATATATCTAATATGATTTGACCCAATCAACAAAAAAAACAATACAATTTGTTCAAGATGGCATTTTGGTTTTGGTAAATACATGTGTTTGATGTTACGCCAATTTCTGTTTGTGTGTTAGAGAGAAGCAGCAGAAAAAAGAATAATGATAATAATAATTGTGCGTGATTAAAATGGGAGTGAAATGAAAAAGGAATATGAAAGATGATGCTGAATTATATGTACATTTTAACCATGTTTCCAAATAAACTTTTATATCTGAAATTCAGCCCATTGGTGTTGCCTATTTTTAATTCTCTGGTCTGTTTCCTATGTCGACGTTTGAGGAAGAGCAAATGTATAATGAAATTCTGATGAGTAGATCTTCCACATAGTATACATGAGACATATTTGTTTGTTGCTACATCCAGTAAATAAAAAGTCCATAATTATAAAACATGCAATAATTAATTTACCTTAGATACGTGACTAAACTGGGGGTAATTAGTGTTATTTAAGATTGATGGAGGCATTCAACAACAGTGGACCTAGAACTGAGCCCTGGGGGACTGTTTTAAAACACTTTTCTTATTCTTAACAGACTTCTTTTCTACAGTCTTACCTATTTTGCGCTACACTCTAATGACAAGAAAAAATGTCTGATCAAACGACTTCAGTACATTTTATGGGCGTTGTAGGGAGAATAAATTGTTTCCCTGGCGCTATAATGGTCTGAAAAGAGATAAAGGAGCGGGGTATAGTAGGTCTCAGCTCAGTGGATTTGGAAGTGTCTGTATTTAAATATATATATATATATAAATATATATATATATAAATATACTGTAAGGTACAACACAGAGCATGAAATCAGGTGCTGTCGACTCCCACTGCAGGCGGATCGCTGTGGAACGGGCAGATCTGGTATAACAGAGACATGTTTGTATTGATGAGATAAAACACAGACTTCACATGAGCAATAATAACTATATACATTTGGATGATGGCTCTTTCTATTGTTTGTGGAAGTTATTGACAGATGCTCATTGGTCGAGTGTATGTTTGTCATTCGTCTGCCGTGGAACAAAGATCATTATCTATATTTTAATGTGATGCAACATGCACTGATTATACTTATTCCTTCAGGGGATCATTAATATTTGGTTTTTTTACAATTTGCCAAGCATGTGATTTTCCATTTGTAAATTTCTCTTTGTTTTTGTTAAAGCCAGAGAGAATAAAAATGTAAACGTGCACAGTATTTATCTCCGTGGGGAACTTTGTCTTCTGCATCT